AGGTGCTGCTCTGGAAGCGATTTCATTATGTTGGCCCGTGACTACAGAGGTGAATATTGGAGATACAGCAGTAGAGGCTGGACATTCTCACCAGTATTCCATTACATTTTGTTGCCATGTGACAGATGGCAGCAGTCTGACAAAATGGCATCTGACATGGAAATGCGTATGAAGCAATGGTGTGTCACTGAATTCCTCCATGTGGAAAAATTGGCACCCACTGACATTCATTGACTCTTCCTGAGCATTTATGGAGACCAAATAGTGGAAGTGAGTGCAGTGAGGCGGTGGGTGGTGCGTTTCAGCAGTGGTGACAGTGAGATGAAAGGCAAGACATGCTCTGGACAGCCATGCAGGTTTTTATGAGCATAGCATGCAGGCTACTGTTCATCGCTGGCAAAAATGCATAGCTGATGGTGATGATTATACTGAAAAGTACTGTTTTGTAGCTGAAAATTTGCTCTATCAAACAGTGTTATTCTCTTATTTGTATCTGTTCTACTTGCCATGGAAACAAATAGGAAGCATTACTTTTGGAGCAACCTGTGTAGATTGGCAGTATTGTGCATGTGGTAGGGAAAGCATATTTGCATTATAGAAAAGTTTTGCTCATTTAAATTAATGTTTAAAGTTGAGCTAAATGATTAGCTTTCATGAAACTCATTAGGAGACGCTGTATGTAAACATGTATAGATACATTTTCTAACCATGGACTCAATCATTTTGTTCGAAAATAATGCATTCTTTAATGTTCCATAAGATGTTTTCTATAGAACTCTTATTTTCAAGTCAATATTTATGTAGAGTTAAATGTGAACATAAGCAGCTGGTAAATCTGACCAGACTATCACAGATGTACTGATATATTGTTGTATTTTGCCCATATGATAATTCCCATTATTTCTCTCTTGTAATGAAGTTGTATTTTTTTATTTAGTCTTAAACCTAATTCTAAATACTTCAAAATCCCATTGATAACAATTATTTTAAATGGACTTTCTTGGTTTTGCAAAGTACAACGATCGTGTAACTTCTCTTAATTCTCAGCTCACTGACTGTAGTCTCAAGTAGCTGCCTCTGTTACATGATAACGTTAGTGAGCTGTGCAAAAGCTTGAGGAGCTAAACGGCCCCGTTTCCTATCTGACTCCTGAGGAGTGAGAATAAATACCATCCAGAACTCAGAATCTCTGCAGTGAAAGGCTGTGTTTTGCTTAATGGGGTAAGAAAGACTTCCTAGTCACTTGAATATATGCAAGTATATGGCAAATGTAGAGATTCGGAAGAATGTCTAAGTTAAGTTTATGAGGTTGGTTTTGTGTAAGTTCTTTTACAAGTTTGTTTCATAAAAGCACAAAGCATTCAAATAATTTTTCTTTAGAAGTCAGTCTCCTGGGACATTCAAGTTAATATTCTTATGCTGACTCAGTGCCAACTGTGCTTGTATTTTAGAGCCAGCACATTTCAGCAGAGAGTTTTGAAGGTGTTTTTCCAACCAAAATTTTAAAGAGGAAAGGAGATAGAATTTGAAGAAAGATGGGACCTTTCAGATAATAATCATTTTTTGAGTGTGTGGGTTTTTTTGCTTTTTTTTTTTTTTTTTTTTTTTTTTTAAATAGATATATATGCCACAGAAACTGATCAGTTATGGTAGAAGATACATTGTTGTATTAAAGGTACTTCTGCTATAAATTCTTAGTGGATATTTGCCATCATTGCTTTCGCTTCAGAGAAGACTGGGCAAGGGTATTGAAAAGGCATTTTAAAGGTGTCAATTACTTCACAGAACCTACAGAAATGGCTGAGAGTTGAGCAGTTTTCTCTGAGAGTAATTTAAGAGAGCAAAGGAAAGTGTTTTGTGACTGTGCCTTCATGTTTGCCGTGTGTTGAACCATTCTTGGCTGCAGGACAGGTTGGGAAGGTGCCTGCATCGGTTTCTAGAGGTGGTGCAGTTCCCCAGCCAGCCCCAGAAGCCACCTCTGCTTGTTCAGTGCATGCATAGGATCTTCTTGGCTCTTCACAGCAGGCAGGAGCATGGCTTTGCATCTGATTATGTCACACCTTATTTAAGTGCTTTGCTGTACCAAATGTTCAGCTCTCACATTCCAGGAAGAGGAAGGCTGGGATTGCCGCATGGGAACAGACTTCTGAGGGCTGGTTTGCTCTGCTCTCTGGCTGCACGTACAGGTCCTCTACAGCATCAGAACATGTAGGTATGAGTGTTCCTACAGCCAAGCTGAAGGTGCTTGGTGAAGGTACTGGTTCTGAAGTAGTCTGCAAACGCTGCTCCCTGCTGCTGTGGGGAGCTCATCAAGTCACTTTTAATTTAGACAACTTTAAGCAGTTATTTTAAAATTTCAGGTTGTGATTTTTAATTCTTAAGTGGTAACAAGATATTGCTTTCTGTATTTCTCACTTGTTCTTTACTAATGTAGCCAAGATGGTGTTTTTCACTAAAAGCAAGTTTGAAACTGTTTTCTGTTTATGTATTTATTTTTTTTTTAGTTCTCTTTTTTTTGTGTGTGAAGATGGATTTTCTTGCTGGACTGGCTGCTGGGATGTTGCGTTAGGGTCTAGATGTAGTGTTCAAGTCCTTACTATTGCTCTTGCTCTTTCTGGGTGTGTCTACGTGAAAAAACATCTGGGTCACCTTGGAAATGCATTTTTGAGGAATTCTTCTCATTTTTTTCCCCACTCACTTTGCTTTGGTGCATCTTGCATAGCTGTCTGACTTGGCCAAATGAAAGGCTTCACTGTTTTGGCTGAAATTAAACTGGACGGTGCAGGCTGGGACTGTATGCATCCCAGTGTTCCATGTTCCAGTGACAGCAGCCTAATTCAGTACCATTCTGCTGTTTCCCAAAGATTGCAGTGCTGCTGGAGGAACTCCACTCTCTCTGTCTGCATCGAGCATCTGTCCCTCTGATCCCTGTCACTTCTCAATGCAGATATGAGCCTCTGCCACTTTTAAATGCATTCACACTAATGGAGTTTTGTAAAGAGCTTAAAGTTTACTGAATTATTGAAATAATTATTGAATTACATATTGAATCAGTACTTGCTTTCTGCCATCACAGTTATGAAATCTCTGACAAGCTGAGTTTTTTTGTTACCTGTTTCATTATTAAATCTTTTTTTCTAATGTTAGTAGAACTTAAAAAACAAAACAAAATAACAGCATAATATAAATCTTTTTTTCCCACAGCCTCTTACTTCAGGGAATAAAAACCAGAGCAGCAGTGTAAAAATAAAACAATAGAAATCAGAGAACAAAAGGCACAGGGGGAATTTATTTATGGTTTAAAAATGCACTGAAAAGTAACAAATACCAAAGCTCTGAGCAGATTAAATTTTCAGATGAAAATGTCATCTAAGCTCAGCAGAGTGGAGGATCTTGGTTGCTTGCCTTGAAATATGATACTTATGCTTAAATGATTTAGTGTGACAGCCTAGGTTTTCAGGATCCACTCCTGAAATGTGCTTTAAAAAGAAATTAGGTACCTGAATCTGCAGTAATGTTTTTTTGTTTTAATATTTAATGTACATCTCAATGAATGTCCTGCTTGTATTTTTTTGTTTACTTGATGACAGAGCTGGGAGCTGTGTGAAACGGATACATGACTACAACTACTCTGTTGACTTAGAATACTGGAAGAATGACTCACGACTGGGGAGGAGTTTGTACAAATACTAGAGTTTTAAGCATGGGCTAGAGTAAGGAATGTGATGAAGTACTCCATCCCTTCGTATAAACAATTCTTTAAATAACCTTAAACAAACCACTTGCGTACCTACAGACTCACACATCTATATATTTATATATATTTTATATTTCTATCTTGTGGGAACAAAACAAATAACAGATTCTTTGTTCAATGTAGTTCATTTACTGTGATGAGGTCTTATTCTCTAGGGGCAATTGCGTGTTTCAGACTCTTGAGTTTTTGTCCAAGGACTGACGTTTGCTATGCGTTTGCTTAGCTCCCACAAGATGAACTTTGAGCTGGAGTTTTTCTGCATAATAGTTGTAATAGTGAAGGAGTTGAGAGGCAGTTATAGACATCTACATAGATTTATCTATCATAGGAGTCTTAATGCTTGTATGAAGTTTTGGGTGCAAATAACAGTAGAAAGTATTCATTATTCTCATTCACACATTTTACTGTCTTCTAAATAATGATGAAAGAAAATCATTAGTTGAATAATTCTACCTGGGGCAGCAGTTAATACTATGGGCACAGGAAAGTCAAAAGCTCTGGAACTGGTTTGTAATGAGATAGAGGAAATGTATTTGTAGTGTGCCCAGAGAAGGGCAACAAAGATGGTAAAAGGTCTGGAGCGCGAGTCTTATGATGAGCAGCTGAGGGAACTGGAATTCTTCAGTCTGGAGAAGAAGAGGCTCAGGGAGCTCTTACTGCTCTCTATTATGACCTGAAAGGAGGTTGTGGTGAAGTAGAGTCAGCCTTTTCTCCTGGTAACTAATGATAAGATGAGGGAGATTGACTTCAGGTTATACCAGGGAGGTTCAGACTGGATATTAGGAAAACTTCTCAGAAAGACTGGTCAGGCACTGGAATGGAATGCCCAGGGAGGTGGTGGAGTCACTGTCCCTGGAGGTGTCCATGGTTCAATGGACAATATTGGTGGTATGTAGGCTGTCAGGCTAGATTTTTTGGTGATCTTTTCCAACCCTAATGATTCTAAACGAAGGTCTAAACCTCTGCTGGGGATGTAAGTATGAACCTGCTTTAAATCAGAGAGCTTGAAGAACAGAGCAATGAGTTGTGAGTTGTCACTGGGTGTGGACCCACCTTCTTATTTCTTGCCTCTGAGGTGTGTCACAAATGCAGACATTTCTCCACAAAGAGATGCTTCTACAATGTGGAACCTTATGTATTGGAATTGGTGGTTTGTTTTACTGCATTTTGAAAACAAAAACACTGATTTGGTATTAAGCATTACTAGTTGACTTCCAGTAACACTTTTCTTTTTGTTTTGTAGGTATGAAGCGTCCATTAAGTCCTGACCGTGTCTTTGAAGATGGGATTATGAATCAGCCAGCTGTTCTACGGAGTTCTGAAGAAAAAGGATTGAAAAATGACAGACAGGACTATCAACTAGGCAAAGAAAAAAAGAAGATACTATTTTCATTCTGCGAAGTGTGCAATATACAGCTGAACTCTGCAGCACAAGCTCAAGTTCATTACAATGGCAAATCTCACCTGAAAAGAGTGAAGCAGCTAAATAATGGAAAGCTCCCTACAAGTACAGCTCCTGGCACCTTATTTGCAAGTACAAGCACAGGTACCTAATCAGTAAGAAATGTTGCATTTTGGACAAGAAATTTAAGGTTTTAAGCTCTACCTTCCCCACCCAGCATAACCATTAAAAATAATTGCTACTTTTAATCTATATTCATATATTTTGTTAGATTGAGAATTGTTGGTGTATTTCTTCTCCTGTGAGGATTATTTTATTTAAACAGTATTATGTCAGTGCACGATTAATGATTGGGTTGGGCCTTACGTAGTTGAGATTATGGCATATTTGAAAGTAGTTGTTCTGGCTTCAAAGAGCAATGCATTTGTCATCTATGTTTTTCCCAAAGAAACAAGTTCTGGAAGGATGTTGTATGGGCAGGAGAAACTTCTAAAGAAATATACTGGTAGGAAAGGAGAGCTGCAACTTTCAACAGCCTGGTCCTTTAATTGTTTCTGCTTTTATAGGTCTGAGTTTTTAATTACTCTAATTCAAGTAAAGTAATTTGAAGCAATACTTTTTATTAACAGGACAAAACAGAAGTCCTTTGTTCCTAATAAGTATTTTGCCCAAGCAATATGAAAAGTTGCAATGTTACATTTAAAAAAAAAAAAAAAAAAAACTTTTCTCTCTGCTAAACTTCACTCATATATACTATGAAAAAAAATGTCTTATTTCTGTACTTCTCTAAGCGTATAGGAGGTTGAACTCATTGAACAATTTGAGCTTCTACAGTTGTAAGGAAAAGGATATTGTGACTTTCCTTCCGTTTTTGTAAGGGATCCTGGTATGCCAGATGGTCTATTGCTTTGATGTTCAGTGTGTAAGGATTTTGCTGCAGGATTATCCTTTTTCTGTGATGTTCCAAAAACACTGAAGAAAATTTGTTACAGCACTTCAAGGATGCTTTTCTTACTCATAGTTGAAATAGATACTTTTTTCCCCTTCCATTTATTTTGTTAAACAACATTTGGGTGGTTGGGTGTTGGTTTTTTTTGTTTGTTTTAAATTCTGTAGCATGCAAAAAGGCTGAGGTTGATCTTAAAGAGCTCGTTTACATACACGTTAATAGAGGTAGAGTAAATCATACTTCTGATTCTGAGACAAGTAAATATGAATATACTGCAGTGAATTTTAAATTTGGTGGAGGACAGGCTTTGAGGCTACCATATGGCACAGGAGTTAAAACTCCTGTTTTGTTGTCTTTGTTTGTTTGTTTTTAGCAATATGCTTTGTTCATTTATCTCTGTATTAGACCACATGCTTCTTATTTACATTACACTAGTCTACCCATTGCATGTTGAAATAAGTATGCTTTTCTCATAGCTGAAGGATGTTGGTGTCATAAGCATTTAGAAGAAAAAAAGTCTTGCGTAGACAGCTTAATGTAATGCTTAAGAGACACTAGAGGAACAGCGTTTACCAAAATGTCGTTCTCAAAGAACACCTTTCAAAAATAAGTAGAAATTAATTTTCTTATAAATTGATATTATCCAGGCTCAGTTTCAATCCATGTCCTCTGGAGTGTTATTATCCCTTGTAATGGGAGTCTGCCTTTCCCATTTCTTTGGCCAACACTGTAAACAATTAATTGTGCAGATGGTAAGAGAACAATTCTGTTCATCTCACCTCACCAATGAACAGACTTGATTCCACGTGCAAAGAAAGCAAATAGCCCTTGTTACACTTCACTGTAACAACTGCATACCCTTCTGCTGAACCAGTTAATGAGCATTTGCAGCTTTCTACAAAGGTTCCTGCTAATCTGCGGTGAGGTTTTTCCTCTGCATTTGTAAGATGAATATAGAATAAATAAATATAAATAAGTATAATATTAAAAAGGTGATTGGGAATACACATGCCTATAAATGTATGTTCAGAATACAGAGATCAAGATTACAGACTTGTCTGTTTTGAGCCTGTGCAACAGAACTGATCCATCCAAGCGCCATCTCCAGCCTCACTGGCTGTTGGTGGGCTTTCTTCCAAACGCAAATAGACACAAAGGAGTCACGAGGTGTATTTTCATATTCTTTCTTTTGAGGTCCCTTTTGTGACAAGTGGTCTCAGGATGCTATAATGCATCCTCTTAATTTTTAGCCTCCAATGTATTTTACGTATATAACCTCAAATTGTTGCTCATAACTTCAAGTTCTGTAATGGTCCTTCAAGGAAAAATTTCCTAAGTCTAGGGACCTGGAATTCTTCGGCAATTATTGTCAATTCTTGGCAATAATACTAGATCTATGGTATCCAGATGATGGGATTTGTGTATTTGGACATAATAATATTTCATAACTTAAAAGCTAATTCTTAAAGGCAAATTTGTCATAGAATTTCAAAAGATATTATCCACCATTACTGGAGTTTACACACAATTTCACTAATTGTGCTCTTCCTGCACGTCAGTCTCTCCACAGCAATTTGAAATTAAAAATTAAAACTAAAAGCAAAGATCAAAAGCTGCTTTTCTCATCTTGCACAAATTGCAGAATTGATTGAATCAAGAAACGAACTGACCGAGAAGAGAAGGCCTTGTGATTTGATGCACTTACCTGACGACACCCTCTCTTTAGCTTGAAGTTAAAAGTTGTGTGCTTGAAGAGAGGCCCGTGCTGCCTGAAAGGCGCTGCGTGCTCACTGCACTCCGCTCGCTTGCCAGCAGCCGGCCGCCGAGGGCACGGGCCGGGGCGTGCAGCGGTGCCCGCGCCCAGCAGGTGGGGCTGCAGCCTGCGCTGTGCTCGGCACCAATGCGTGCTGCCGCTGCCTTCGGCCTGGCCGTGGAACCGGCGTGCCGAGCGATCATCAGCCGTTTGTGAAGGTGTGCTGCGGCGGGGTTTTAAACGGTATCGTTCTGTTCGTCTCAGTTCTCCCCTGATGGACGCCGATTTTGCTTCACGCACTCCGGTCCACACTCGTTGGGTGCCCTGGCCCTGTCTGAGCACTGGAGGAGAGCAAAAGGCAGCATGGAGAAGTCAGGTTTTCTATTGTATTTTATTTTTTTTCCACTTCTGGCAACAGAAATTAGCGCTGCTTTGCCATCTTGTGTGATGCTGCGTTATGTGGGAAGTCTGGGCATCCTTTCAATGGAGGCAGCAAGGCTTACAGCTAAAGTACTCTGAATTGTGTCAAGCCTTTTGGCTTGCTTGAGTGGCTTTGAGTGAAGGGGAGCTGTCTTGGGTTGCAGATGAAATATACAATATAGTTTAAGTAACATAACTTTTTCTTACATTTTTTATAATAAAACAAAAAAAATTAGGGCAACAAAAACATAAAACTTGCAGGTTGGATGCACATGCTTTACAGGATCTATGGCCTAGATAGGTAACTCGAATACTGGGTTCCCAAACCAAATGTCTTGAGTTCGATAGGGTCTTCAGCTGTGCCAAATGACAAGGGCCTTCTTCGAGATCTTGCTTAAACTAGTAATTGATTTTCTAAATATCTGACTTAGGGGGAAAAAATAAAAAGACTACTGGTAAACTTCAGGAAATGGTTCTGAGACTATTTCAGGTAGACTTACATGCATGAGCATATACTTATTCTGGTAAATGTGTGTGCAGAGGACTCTTTTACAGAACGGTGAAGGAAATCACCTTGACAGGGCATGAGTTCAGTGCAACTTCACAAGATCAGTGATGAGAATCAAAAATCATGGGTTGAGTGATGGTCTGTTACAATCAAAGGAAACTGCAGTGCATTACTCTTATTTCAGTGGAGTTTTTCCCTGTTTTTCTGATTGCCAGCAGACCCAGATCCTGAATGGACAGCTTTGTATGTAGGTTTGAATCCTGAGCAGGACCCAGACTTACTTACTGCCGTGTTTGTTGCCATCTGAACTGCTTTGTGCCAGCTCAATGGTGAATAGAATTTTTGCTTGCTTTAAGCTTCTTGAACTGGACCCTAAAATACCTTGTCTGCATGTATCTGACATTTTTCTGGAAATAAAAATAAGCAAACAGGGATAATCTAAGTTTATTACAGAATATGTTTATTACTCATTCTAGTGAATACTCAGAGAAATGCTAAGCAGCAACCAACAGTATCTTGAAAAATTTGGTGAGCTATGTCTTCCTCAGCTCTTGCATATGAAGCTATGGAAGTAGTGTGCAAGTCTACAGAGGGTAATGGGAATGCACTATTGGTTTATTTGTTGTTGTGTTGTGCCCAAACCTTTTCTAGACTTGAGTAAGGCCAGCTCTTGTTCTGCCTTCTCTCTCTCTGCTGCCTGCAGCCCTCTTGGGAAGCCAAGGAAAGATGCTGCTGTGAGACACAAGGTGAAGTGATGTCAGGGGACTGTTCTTCTGCTGTCCCTGTGAGAAAGGGAGATGCCCTGCCTCTTTGCTGTCCTCCTCTGGGCAAAATTTGTCTATTTGGCAGAACCAAAGAGTAGAGTCTCACTAGAAGAAGAAATTTCTTAAAAATTGTACTAGAAGAAGGTAATAAAGAGGTTATACTCTTGTAATATAACTTAAATTTGTGAGCTGTTGAGAAACCTAGTATTTCACTTCTTACTGCAGTGTAAATTAACTTCCTTATTCAGTGTTCTTCTGAACAAGGCTGTATTTGGTATACTGCTACGTTGTTTCTGTCACTTGAATATCTCCCACAATTTACTTAGGAATTATATGCTATTAAGTTAGCATTCTTCTTGCAAATGAAACACATTTATGTGGAATGGCTGCTATTTTTCTTACGGTTAGTGTAATTAGTTGCTCTGAAATTAAGGGGAGTTCAGGTTGTTTTTATGCTCTTAGTACTCTTTACAAAATATTGATGAGGAGCGTGAATATCAAGGGACAGAGCTGATGTTAAAAATGGTCTCATTTGCTAGTAGCTGCAAACTGTATTCATAATATTTTGTTCTGTCTTTGAGTAGTTGCATTGTGAAAGTACAGGTAATTATTAAAAAAATAAAGTCAGGAGTCTTCAAGAAAATAGTGGAAATTTTTTTTTTCATTGAAACGGGCTCTTTTTTTTCTGTTATTTGTTTAAGTGATGATATAAAATTAAGGAAAAAACATGCTTTTTGGAAGTGATCAATG